CTAGCCAACTTTTAAGCTCTCTCTCTTGTTTTTTTTTTTTTCCTTTTTGACACGTCTCCTTTTAGACGCAAGAAAGGTTTTCTCGAAGTTTCCAACAACAATTTTGAGTTATATTTAACCAGTTACGGAAGTGGATATATTGTCGATTCTTACGTTCACAAATATTCTACAACATTTGAGAAACTAACACTGTAAGCTAGGCACATTTTTAAATATAAACTCAATCCAAACAAATGTTGTCATTAAAATAAATATATAACAAATTCGTTACAATGTAAGAATTTTGTATTTTTTCCAATGTCAGTTGGTAGTAGGTATATTCAAGCTAGTCATGAAAAACTTCTCCCTTAAGTATTGTTTGTCCTACTAAAAACAATGGCTGATTACCATTTTTTAACAAAAAATCCTGATTAAGTTAAAAATTTTAGTTGTGTACATAAATACATTAAAACCTAATTAGGTTAAAAAATTTTAGTTTGTGTACATAAATACATTGTTTGTGCCTCATTTTTTGTAACCCAACAAGTAAAAAAAGTGACAAAAGCTCTATGTCATTATAGTATGTTAGCTATATGCATATTGTTGTGTGTGAATTCCCACTATACACATTAAATGCTTACTTCCTATTAAGAAGTATCATATTCAGATTGAGGGACTTATAAGTATGTTACATATTTTTTTTTAAGCAGGACTTCAGGTTTAACCATCTTATATCAGATTTTTGTTATTCTGGAATTCTCAATAATCTAGTCTCTCATCATAAGCTATCTGTGTATTCCTAATTATGTAAAACATTTTAACCCTGTGAATAGTCACATTATTATTTACTAAAATCAAGATCATTAATCATTTTGAATCTATAAAACAAAGAGGGATATTAGATCAGTGTATGTATGTGTTATAAGTAACTTTTTTATGTATTATTTCTGTAGATTTCAAACAAGTTCCTTCAGTATTGCCAACGTAGTTTTTATAGCCATACATAATTAAAGATTGTTCACACATTACAATTCAAGAAATTCTTCTGAAAGTACTAGGCAGGTTATTGGGGTGGTACAGTTCAATCCTGAAGAAAGGTCTACTTTCTGAAAATATTTGGGTTGTCATGTATCTTGCACTCCCCCCAGTGACTCAGCTGTACATTTCAAGGCTTACAATGCTACAAGCTGGGTTTTGACACCTGTGAAGGGCATAAATGTTATCCCATTGTGTAGTTTTATACTAAACTACAAACAAAAAGTCTATCTCACATTTGTAGAATACTAAGTACAAATAACTTTCCAAAAGGTCTTGCCTCTATATAGCTGATACAAGTCACAGAGTAAATATAATGATTGATTATTCATGTACAAAATATTTGAAGTAGTGACTCATCATAAAATTGATGGTACAAATAAGTTAAATGTTTTAATGTTATGTACATTCTTTTGTTTTTATGGTAACATCTGCACTTAGCAGCTCTTCATATAACAAAACAAGACAGGACCTTGTAGAAAGCTAAATGAAGCTCCAGTAAATCTTTGAGATGCTCTACAACAGGGATAAATTTAGATATTTTTTTAATTTCACATTGTATCTTCATAGTAAAACTTTATTGTACTGTAAAAACAACTGTACTGAGAAAAATGTTATAAAAAGTGTATGTAGTTTAAGGATATTCAGTGGTAAAGAGTTTAATAAAACAGTAAATAGGAATACTGTCATACATCTTTAATGTCCTACCAATATTTCTCCATTGGTTCAAACTAGAATTGGAAAGACAGTTGATTCTTTTTTTTTCTTTTCATCTGTTGATCATTCATATATAAACTAAAAATAGATACATTATGGACCACTTATTTGTGGTGTTAGTACATCAACTGGTCCATTAAATTGTACCAATTAGTTTAAAGTCTTTTTTGTTACATCATCATATATTTCAGATTGTAACACTTGTTGTTCATTCATATCAGTGTAATAACTGTACCAAAAGCCCATGTATTTAATAGATAATTTATCAAAAGTATATGTGATGCCAACAAAAGTTCAAGTTTTAGTATGAATAATGGTATTTATTTTAATATAATTCTGTATCATAGAAGATGTTAATCATTTTTGTAAGAACACCAGTGTAGAAGTTGGATTCCTGTGGTTCTTGTACAACAGACTAAACATTAATTAGCATCTTTGTATCCATATTTTGAATTGTTTCAACTACAACCAGTTCATAAATCTCATTGAGTTTCCTGCCTTGCAAGAGTTCAAGTTTTATGAAAGCATTTATTCATCACAGAATTTCATTCCTATGTTTTTTGTATTTTAATGTTCCATTCTTAATAATTCAGTAATTTTATTATCATAGTTTTAAGTACATTATGAAAGAAAGTACAATTTCAAACTTATGTAAGATATGTAGTAAGAAACAATGATGAAGAACTGGGAGAGGAAACAAGTAACCCTTTATAAAATTATATTTTACATTTCATGTAAAATAATGATTATATTAATAGTAACCAACCTTACTTGTAATTGGCTTAGTTCATTATTTACTTATGTTCTTAGAAATGTAAATATGTTAATTTTTGTAATGAAATTTACATAGCAATGCTCATCTGCTTATATAGAGTATTGTTAAAAAGGACAATAGTCTTCAGTCGAGAGTTCAAGTATAGATTTGATATCAGATTTTGAAAGTCTATTATCAAGATCATTATTTTTTAAATTTCTTACCTTTAAAGTTTGTAAAAGCAAGTAAAACAAAAGTACCTTTGTCTAAAAGACCAGCCACATGGTAGGCTTAAAGAAGCCAGTGCTATTAATGTTAACCAAAACCTTCAAAGGCTAAATTCAGTGGTTTTCAAATTGCCAGAAGGTTCTTTGACACATGGAGTTTTTAAACATTTTATGTGACCAAATAGCTGAAAAAGATGTAAAAAGAATGTCTCGGAATTCCTTAGAGAATATGGCAAAGTCTACACAGTAGTCAAAAAAACTTACAAAGATTTCCCAAAACCGGTAAACTTTGTGTCATTGGAACACGTCCCTTATGCTTGGGTCCCCCTTTTAGCACAACATGTACTGCAGGTCCTGCACCATTCTTCCCTCATACCCATCCAGTAAAATCTTTGTCGTAGGTGACTCAATGTCTTCTTAATTTCGAGATGTCCTCCTGTTAAACT